TTTAGTTTAACATTATTTTGATATTGTAATTTATCCTACTTTAATTGAAGTAGGATAAGTCATAATATCAAAATAATATTAAACTAAATCGCGATTGATCAAAAAATGACTTTTAATAAACATTTTGGAGCCATTTTAACATTATGATGATTTTTTATTCTTTAAATATGTTTTTCAATTTATTGCATGAAAACTTTCCGCAATAATCATCATGCTGTATGGGTAATATTTCAAAAAAATTTACAAAATTGAAAGTTAAAATAATTTTGTTTACCATAAGTGCTTTCCATTTGTGATAAAAGTGTCTTCGTTATTCATTGAATGTCAAGATAGAATGATGTTTGTGTCGTCTCGTATCATCAAATAGAAAGCACATAATGATTATACGTTACTGAAGGTAATCTAATAAAGGAAGGATATGAATCGAAATTTTTAGTTATAGTTTATATCATTCCTTTTTGTAAATTTTGTAAATATGACTACTATAGGAATAAAGATTTTATATCAAATTAACTTACCTTTTACATGAGACAAATAACTGTTAAACCCGTGTAATTATCTGGCAGTTATCGCATAACTCGATTAAAACTATTATTTTTGCGAGCGAAGCGATCTTGACAAAATATAATGCATGAAATTTAATAAAGGCCATTGTCCTTAACGGAGAATTGATCCTTATTTTCTTAATGTAAATTCATGAATATATTTTGATAATTTTATAAATTATTTGGCGATTACTTATAAAGAAATTAAATTTTGTGTAGCTTGTTCAATTAATAGTAATGGAATGGATAAAATCTTATATATATAAAACGTTCCTAAATATAATACAAAATCATTACTTAAAATACATTACTTAAAAATATTACGTCTGTTTTTATATCATGAACTTATTTTGTTTCATAAAATAAGTATAATGTGAATTACGGGATATAATAAAAACTATTTGTTAAAGTTTTGCATATAAAAGATATTAATTAATTCATAAATTGCATATTAATACATCGATAATAGATTAAAGAAATGCCTGTCTAAAATAGAATGATAAATGAAATATTTACGCAAATAGAACAACGGTATTTTCTCTATGTCTACATTTCGTTGGACTATTATTAAATGCCTTTGCAATCAACTTTGTTTGCAGGCAAGTCTAGTTATCTATCATTTGCCATTCCCTCATTTTATTTTCTGAATCAATCATTGATTTTTTTCTACATAATAGTCATCAATGATTATTATATGCTCTTGAAGTCTCTTTCTCACTATATCGTGAAAATATTACGACTTATCGCTCGATTCTAACTTTTGATTCATCTTGTTCATATCATTATTCTCCATAAGTCTAACCTTGTCTGAATCAACTGTCTTTTCGCTATTCAATGGTTCCTCTTTCTTCTTATTAAGACCCATGAATTCGGCTAACATATTCTGTCGAGATCTTTCCGGAAATTGTTCTCCTCTACCTACAGAGATTAAAGTTGCCCGTTTAGGAGGTCTTTGTAGCGGAGGTAGTTTCGGTAAGACAGAAATTTGATCCAATTTTGATGTCGACTCTTTTTGTATCTCCTCTTGGTTTGCAGCTGATTTCTTTGTCTCCTCCTGATTGGATTTCGTTGTCGATTGTTTCTTTTTTTGATCAGGTGAAGACTGTTTTTTTATCTCTTTCTGATCAGATTTTACAAGTTGTTTCTTCATATCTTCTTGTGTGATTTTTTTAGTGAATTGAGTAATAAGTGGTATATGCTTCTTTTCTTTTTCTTTTTCTTTTTCTTCTTTTTCAGTCTTATCAGCTATAACGTTTTGAGAATTATTTTTCTGACTTGGTACTAAAATATACTTCCAACAATTCGGTAATGACAGCTTGATGTCAGGAAGATATTGCTTCCGGATGTCTTCCGAAATGTACCAGCAAGATTTAAGATGCATCGGTCCCTCTTCGGGACATGCTATCCTATCAGCGATTTCACTGATCTTCGATAATACACTAACTTTCGACAAATGACTTCCGCTCTTTTTGCTCCAAAATGTCATGAACTCTCTCATAAGAACGTGTCTGCCATGTCTGTTCCCGTGCACTAACCGAATCAGATCAGGCAAAGCTTCCTCAGGGAACTTGGTCTTTTTTGATCCTTTCACAGATTGGCCAGGCGTCTTGCATTCAATATTAGTCGAAATATCTTCTTCTGGTGACGATGACGGAAGTATTATCGGTATATTGTTGACCCAAGCTTGCCGAGCTGACAAGAATTCTTTGATTTTTGGAGGAACTGAAACAGTTTGAATATGTCCTTATGAAAATTTTAAATATAGAATATTTGACAAAAATTTGTAATAAATATTATAATACTATATAATACTACAAATATATAATAGATATATTATACATACACGCACGCACGCATGCACACACGCCCACATCTATAAATAAAATATACTTACTAGATTCTGGAAATGAATTGCCGGGTCCCTGCCAAATGCATCCGATTATTTTTGGCTTAAGTTTATGTGTTTTCGCGTTTCTTTCAGCTTCAAATTGTTTTCCTAATATCTTCAATTTCATTTTCTGTGTTTGCGGCGACTACAATAGAAAAAATATGCTTTATACTGATCTGTATTTCAAAGTAAAATTTTGTATGTATAAAAAATAGTTTTCTTAATGTGTACTATTATTATAATATTCTTACCATGTCCTCCATTTCTTCCTCATCAGCCTGCGCTTCTTCCTCGGACAAATATCTAAATAACAAAATATTTTCTTTTTAAAAGAATTTACACAAATACAAGATCAAAAGATACGAATATCAGAAATTTATAAATAATAAAATTAATCTCTTTGATACAGCTTTTATTTTCTTATAGCAAGATAAATTCTTAAAGGCTTTCCAGAATTGTAATTTTTATTTTTATAAAAGAAATTTCCTTGTAAAATTTTAATTTTAATAAATAATATTTTCAAATTATTACTGTATAATCCGAGAGAGAGAGGGAAAGAACTTTTATATAATCTTTTAAACTTAAAGAATAAAATACAATAGTATTTTACTCTTTGGGATATTAAAAAAATTATTTCTGATACATAAAGAAAAAATATTGATAACTTTTAAAATATATTTCACTTTTATAATTTCATAATTTTATACAAGTTTAATTTCAACATAAATTTAACTAATATTATTTACCCATGAGGAACCATGAACTCATTATCGATGTCGTATTCGTTTTCTTCCGGATTTTCCTCCTTTTCGTCCTTTTCATCGTCCGATCCTTTGAGTGATTCGCCAGGTTCTTCCTCTTCCCACTCATCGTCGGAATCAATTTCATATTCAAACAATTTCTAAAAAAATAAAAAAACTTTCTTGCAGATACTTTAAACGGACTCGATTTTTTCATATCATTAAGTTTTCATAGCATGAATATAAAATTTCATATAATGATGTTATTTAAAAAAAAAATCTTGTAATTAATTATCTCTTATAAACAATTCTCTTTGCCGATTATATTAAAAAGTGATCTCGTATTGCGAGCAAAAAAGACATATCACTTTAAAAATGTTGTAAATGAATGCCGCTCTCACATAAATATTTTCGATTAAGGATGTTCGATAGACATATGTAGTACATATATTAATATTTATATTAAACAGTAAACGTATTGTTTGAAGATTGTGTTCAACATTCTGTTTTTATTAAATAACATCTTTTTATAGTTAATTTATTTTATTTATTATTTTTATTGTCGTGAATTATATTTATAAAAATAATAACAAAAATCTCTAAATAATTTTGTATAAATACTTTAAGTATTCAAAATAACTTATGCAAAGTTTCATTACGATTCGCTGACTAGTTACAAATATTTAGAACAAATAAATATTTTATTTATTTACTTGTTAACTTCATTGAGATGTAACTTTACATAAAGTACTCATATTACAAAATTGAGATTTTTGTCGTTTATTTTATAATATAAATACATTTACATATTTTTCTATTAGAATAAAATTCTATTTAGAATAAATTTCTATTAGATTAAAAAAATATTACTTTTTATGATTCAAATATTAGGTGTAGTAAAAAAAAATCCATTATTTTTACATGAAATTGAATGGAAAAATAATGGATTTCTTTTTACTACACCTAATAGTAAATAATCACAAAAAAAATTTATTGTATTACTTTTAAATAAAATTTAAAATAATTTGCAATTTTTTCATTTATTTCAAAATAGCTATCAAACATTCTTAATTTGGACAATTTTGATGATGGCGTTCTCATGCTATCATTATAGTTTTTCATGCATTGTCATCGACTTGTTTATCTTTAATTTCGGTTATGACCGCGACGGAATCTCAGTTCATGAATAAGCAGGACGTCGATATCAAAGCAACTTCCTCGACGAGTGATATCTCGGCTTTGCAATCATCTCCGACGTGCTGGTCCGCACGCATTCCCAATTCTCTTAGTTACAAAGTTGTAGTCGGCCGCTGAACGTCCTATCAAAATGTAAATGCAAGTTCTTTGACATTTGTTTTTTTCTGTAACGGCCTCGGTTAAAATAAATGCTGTCCGATTGTTTCCGCGTAACCACCGATACGAGGAAGTTAAAGATATCCTCGTCGCAAAAATATTAATTGTAATGCGCGAAAACTACTCTTCTCAGTCGAAGTATCGGTCTTTGACGAGTGTGATGTAATTATCGCGAAAAGTATGAAGTATTATATCAACATATTTTTGCGCTCGGTGTGAAGGGGAATGTAAAATACCGTTCGTTATTCGCGTATAACTTAATTGGTAGCTTGTTAAGTAGCTATTTTCATCTCCACGTTTGCAACAGCGTTCTGGTGTAGCTTATCGAGTAGCTATTTTTATGATTCTTTTTATTTTTATTTCCGATATTTTGGATTAAAATGAGACATGATTAAATATGTGTTATCGCATAATACTTATTAGAATTTTTTGAGTGACAATATTATGTGGCGCATTCAACGAAGCGCAATAATTCCCAGGAATATAATTGAAATCAATTAGTTCGAAACAGTAATAAAACGCATCGCGGTAGTGCGCTATTCCTCGCCGAAAAGTCGATAAATTTTCCCTCTCCCTTTCTCTCTCTTTCTCTCTCCCTCTTTTCTCTTTGCGCCGCGGCGCGAGATATTCTTTGTTCGATAAATCAACGTCGATTTCATCCCTACGTGAGCATCAATTACAAGACTCTTCTCGAGACATTAATTTATTATCGCGGAGAAACGTAATCTCATGGGCGATTGATACACTCGTCGCTGAGACGAGTAACACAAAAACAATCGCCAGTTCATCGCTAATAAATAAAAAGGAAAAAAAAAGGAGAAGAAAGAGTGTATATTCAAGCAGCTTTTGGCAGCAATACGAAGGTACGTATGACGTCTCGCGAAACGTAATTTATTATCAAGAATACGAGGTGTCCCAGATTCTGAATCGTATTTCTTTTCAACTACGGATTGTTTAATCATTTTCAAACCGATTTCATCTTACGAACACATCGAGACATAGAAAGTTTTTTAATTACACGTGATTTAAAACAATATTACTTTGATAAAATTTTGATTTCATGAATAACTGAAATATCTAACATTGAAAATTAACAAAAAATTAAAAAATAAATAAAATAAAACTACGTTAAATTTGCGAGAAAAACTAATTGAAAATTATTTAAAAAATAAGTAGTTAAAAGGAAGTTAATACAGACACTGAAAGAAAAATATTTGATATTTATCATTATTTCAATAAAATAATTATGATTAGGAACTCAATTTTTATGGATATTACTGCTATAATATTAATAGTAAGTATGTATGTATAATTTGCTGAAATATAAAATCATTATACTATAAATTATATATAATAATTTCAAACATTAGTACAGTAAAATATCATGATAGAAATAACACAAGCCGACAAAATTTAGAGGGGGTCTTGTGCATTGAATTTTGAAAGATCTTTTCATAGGATTTTGATACGCTGAAAACGACTAAAAAAGTTGTCCATTTTTTCCATCACCTCCATTTTTTAAATAATCGCGAAAACAGAAATTTTTTTCCAGAAATAACACTTTTTTTCCGGCTGAACAAAAAATGGTATCGAGGTCTTTTGTGACTTTAACTCAGAAATGTTCCAACAATACTAAAAATATTTTTTTGATGCTTATAAAAATGTTTTATGCAAATCGTAAACAAAAAACTTTGGAAAAATCATAAATAATCAGAATAAAATTGACAAATTTTGAAATATAAAATCAAATAATTCGAAAGAAAAAAATCGTAAAAAATATCACAAATATGATAAATTATATTTATTATAGTTGTATGTTTCTAGTTTAAATCTTTTTGAAAAACTAATTTCCAACTATTTGTTCAGAAGTTATTAAATTTAAAACGCCAAAGCAATCCACGCGTATAGTGCGCGACATTCTATCGAGTTTGATACCATAACCATCGAATATAGGAGCATGTTGTGTAATTTTTTTTAGTCACTGATTTCAAATCTGAAATAAAAAATGTGCAATTCAGAATGGCGGATCCAATATGGAGGACAAGAATTTTAAAAAATTCTTGAAAACCGATATCTGGTAGTTTCATAAGTCTCTGATTACTACTGTAATCACAATTGTTGAATTGAAACTAGCAGATCCAGATAATAGATTACATAACTGGACCGTTTACATTTTTATAATCAACATTTGTTTTTACTATTTAAATCGATTTGGTGTCACACTCACTCTGATTAGAGGCGTGAAGAATTGGGAACAGATCTCCTGCATTAAAGGCATCCTCGGCGCGTACGCATGCACGCACGCATGAAACCCAAGAAGAAGAAAAGCGCAGTTATCGGCCTGAGGGTGCGATGGATGCGCTTAACGTTACGCCGGTGCATGCCGCGAAGCGTCGTACATTATTTACAGCGTGTTGTCGCCCGGCGGGCCATCTGTAATGGCTGTTTTATGCTCCATTAAGATTACGACCGGTGCTTCTCGTCGTGGATACACCGTAGATTAGGTGGCCCGACAATCAAACTGATTTATTCCCCGAATATTCGGGGAATATTGCTAGACCTCCTGCACTTCGTTACCGAGTTAGCATAACGATATCCGCATTGAAAATTGGAGACTGTCTCCACGTGAACTGTCATCGCTATAGATGATTAGTCCCGTGAGATATACATATTGCCCATTTGAGAGCTTGTAAAACTGTGATTCGATAGGCCAAACAGATTAAAAAAATATATAAGAGAAGATATTAAAAACATATTGATATTAAAAAAAAAATCAATTAATTATATAGCTCTTAAAAAATGCGAAAATAGTTTAAATTTTTCCCGTACGTAAAAGTTCTATTGACATCAAATAGAATTATCGATCATTTTCTGTAAAATGTGACACTGTAATGAGCGTGATCGAGATTTTAATTTCCCAAATAAAATGACATGCGCACAACAGCGTTTTGTGCTGGTCATAGTGACGCAGGATCTAAAATGCGTCTCTCGCAAGATAAATACGCGTGTTATCACTAAACGAATAATAAATTTCACGCGAAATGGACTATTATCAATCAATGATTGATATATTCATTATATATATATATA